CAAATACCAATTACCTTTAACTGACTTTGAACCCAGAATTATTGTTTTTCGAAAAAAATTCTACCAAACTATTAATATGCTATGTTGACTTCATGGCTAAGATTTGCTTCATGATCTACTAACACAGAAATTGACATTTATACAATATAAGAAAATTTTAGAAAAAATAAAATTAAGGTTTTATTTTTCAGCCCTATTTTTTTCTCGGTGAAAATTACCTTATATTCCTTTTTAATAACTAGACAAAATAAGAGAAAAATAAACCAGAATCATAAAAGTCCAATAGCAGGATTTTGAATAATTTGTAAACGATAATAAATATTTAGTAAAAAAAATATTTATTATATTTATACAAATGTTATATAAAATATGATTGCGTAAATTGTTTCTTATTCAATGGTTTATTCAAATCATTGAATAAAATAAAATATCTTCTAAAAACTCTGTTTCCAATGTCCAAAACAAATTCAATAAATGTCAAGATGATTTTAATACTTGAAAAGTGTTTAATTAATACACAATTGAACGAGCATTTTGGAGTATACCTTTTTGTTTTAATCAACGACAAGTTTTAAGTGTCCTTTGAAATAAATATCTGTCTTTAGTCAACAAATTTACCAAATTATTGATGAGGTCATTCATCCCAATAAAGGGAGAAACGGGGTGATGGTTCTTGCTTACTGAAAAGGGAGTGTTAAAGATTGTTAATAATAATATGAAAGACAAGTCAGAGATAATTTCCTTCCACTTTCTGTTTTTGTCATTGTAAATAGTGACATTCATCAATCATTTAAGTCATTCTTCAATCATCAATAACAATTTAAACCTTTATATTTACATTGACTTACCTTTTTATTTATATCTATCATTTTTCCAAATAAAAACCTAAAATTTGACTACTATTCTAGTCTTAAATCAAATATAAAAGGGATATTAATTAAATCGGGGATTTTACAGTTGGGGATGTTACAGTGTGGTGAAAATATGCTTCTTAAAATAAAATATTTCTATAAAAACAGATCCAACTTTCTTTCATTGTTTCTAATGAAGCAACGACCAACCTATGTCATTAACCCAATTCTAATTCCTTTGAAGTGATCGCAAACATTTGCAGAGTGTCCCTCGGGAGTACATTAAGTAGGTGGACTTGTATTTGAATTAGTATTGGAAATAGTGGAGAAAATGTTTTTTTATACATTTAAAAATATTTAAAAACACTTAAGAACATAAGTTTGTATTTATCAATCAACTAAAAATAACGTTAATAATGAGAAGATTATAATGAAAATTGGACATTTTCAAGTTGATTAATATATCAAAATCACAATTTAAAGATATAATAAACTACATTAAATAAAATTTACAGTTACCATATTAATTCTTTTGTTTGAACAAGACATCATTTAAAAATTAAAAATATGTGACATATTCATTTTATTAAACTCGACTACACTATCATTATATTTTATGCGACATGAACCAAATACTAACATACAAATACTAGCAGTATGAAAAAACCCAGGACAATGATTAATGATTTATTTTCTAATCTCTGTAATGCCTTGCGTGTCAACAAAATACCAATTACATTACCTGGGGCCACACGTGTAATCGTCAGTGATATTGCCTTCATTTGAATGTATCGTGTTTGTTTAGTATTAAAAAAAAGATTTTTCAAATTATATCATTCGATTTTACTGTACATTAAATTCAACGTATTATTAATATAATAAACTGGACAAAGCTATATATTTATGTACATTATTGAACAATATAACATAACACTAATGTTTTTAATTTGTTATTAATTGAAGTAAGCATATGTAATTATAAATAAATTTATTCGTTTCCTTTAAATGAGATACGTTTATGATATACATACATATGTATATAGTGACGTAGAACAATTTTTTAATCTTATTATCTCGTAATTATAATTAATTTCAATCAGGTCTTTATTAATATTATTATCTCAAATTTGATCTGTCTTTCAACAATTACCGCATTTTCCTTGTTAACACTATTTACCGATTTAAATAAGTAATAATAATATTTAATTATAAGTTGATAATGATATCATTTTATACCAGTTACTGGTTAATGTGTACCATTTTTTTCATTTTTACAGCAGTTTATATCCAAACATAAAAACAAAAGAAAAAAGTAATAGGAAATATTCAATTTAAGTCGTATAATGGAAAGCACACCAACGCTTACGAAAGTAGTAAACACGTCGTAAAAAAGAATATTACAATTACTTTTCACAACACTATACGAAAAAATATTACTGTAGAGTTAGAAAACAACCTTGAATAAACATACACCTTTTATATTTGTAATTTACATTTGGAATGGAAAAGTTTTCAATGTTTTATGTTCCTATTAGAACATTTATTATAAAATATTATTTAATACATATAACTGTAAATATGTGTTTTCACTTAGAGCCCTCAATGAATCCCTTAAAACCTATTCTCTTTATATCTTACTTTCATATCTTACAGATTATGTGGGTGATAATTTCTAGATTTAAATCCCTCTCTCCCTATCGATTATCAGATGACCAGGTGCATGACTCGTCTTCATCTCTTGTAGGCCTAAGTAGTATCTACGAAACGATACACTTCTTCCTGTCTCATACGCACATCAAAAGATTAGAACGTCTTTAAATTACAATTTAAGTGTCCTCAAGAGGAAGTGAGATAGTGCGTTCATCAACTGCAGCTTTACTTCTACTTATCATAAGGTGGAAACACAGACGAAACTGTCCAGTCGAATTAAAAAAGGACATTCGCTACACCTACCCTAACTTTCTAGCACATTTTTTATAAATAAAAGATGGTAGTCCAAATATGTATATCAAAGACGTATTTTTTCGTCATAGTAACGTTAATGATTTTACACATTATATGAAGAATACAATTTTTTTTAAAAATTAATTCAATTATAAAAATATTATATTCCAAAAAAACTGTACCAATGGATTTCATTCCCACACATAAAGTGACTTTTCAATTCCTTGCTGTTATAAAAAGTCAATAGACGTAACATTGTAAATACAAACACCAACCTATATTTTTGGTCGAATAGTCGTACCTTTAAGAAGAAGTTTTATTTTAATATTTGTTTTCTACATCAAAAAGGTATTTCATTTTTTTGTACTAAATCTCGAGTCCTAACCACACTATGACGCGATTGTGATTCAGCGAATCGTTATCTCAGCTCCCAGACCCGATTTTCTGCCTTGAATTGGTTACGACAAAGGGTCTTAAGATACCTTAATAGAGCTGCAGTTGTCCGGTCTTTGAGGGCTTATACTTAGAGATCTCCGACAATCCCTATTCGTAAGCAACGTTCTCGTTAAAAACTTATCTTTGAAGCTTTTTGTAGGTTGACCGTGTTTAATTTAATAGATTGAAGAATAAGTTTATATCTTTAATATGCATATTTACATCTGTGAAAATTATATAAGAGCATTTTCTTTTGCGAATTATGTTTACTTTTTTCCGATTAAAAAGAACTAATTTATAGAATTTTAAACAACATGTCTCATTTAATGTACGAGTGTAGTAAAATGCTTTTTCATTCTCATAGAGTGGTCATAATAGCACATGCCTCCAGTCATTAACCCCAATCTTTCCGAAGCGACAGGAAATAATTGTCAAGTGTTCCCTCGTGAGTACATAAACTATAGATAGACTACTTTCATCACCTTAATAATGAAAGTAACAGAAGTAATATTTGAAATAGACTTAATTTTTTTTTTTTTGTTATAAGGAAGACTTTCACTGGTTTCAAAATATTACTTTTCATCAAGAACAGTAAACGATTCACTTATTTATATTTTATTTTGCCTCTCCATACTATATTTTGGACTTTGTATTGAATAGTGTTTTTACAAAAATCATATACGAGAGGTTTGGGTAAACGAAACAACTAAAATAATTTCTTTCAGAAGCTTTAAAGCGTAAATACTTGTATGACTCCAAGAGCAGTGATGCTCTTCTTCTACATAAATTTTCTTCCTATGCTTCTGACCGCAGTAAATTCATCTCATCTGCTTACTGTAGGTACAAAATAAGTCATAAAAATAAAAGTCAGTAAGAACATTGAATAATTTTATTACACACTTTAAACATAGGATACGTTATATAGGGTGATATTAATCAGGTTTCCATTACAAATGAATATGGTTTAAATTATATTTAATTACAAATATGTCAGTAACGTTTTGATGTCACATTTTGAATATTACACAAATATTATTTTATTTTCTTTTGTATGCATTATACATATAACTTTCTAAAAATATCAAGAATATGTAAAAAATTAAAATTATATGTGTTTGTAAATTTCATACTTCTAAAATTAATTATAACTTTTTGTAGTAAAAACAAAAATGGAAAAGTATTTTTTATAACAAATTGGTATTACTATGCGTGAGAGTTTGGTGACTGTTTTCAATTTCACCCCATATAATTAATAAATAATAATAATAATTTGATCATAATAAAATATACTGATATACGCATGTTTTTTTTCCTTGCAATAATATAACAGTGCTGATTTACGTATTCTATTAATATGTACATATTTCTACAAAGCTAATATTTACATTGCCTTAAATAAGAACAAGCTTTATAATATTAAAATAAAACAATGAAATTATGTCTGTACGTCCATATTTTTGTCATATTTCTTACAGTATCGTTACGGACAATGTAACATTTGTACATTGTATTTACAGTAGTCTAAATAACACTATATGATAATGTTGATGAAGTTCGCGTTGATAAACTATTTTTACAATTATTATCAAATAAACAAATGACATTCTGAAAAGAATGTTACAAGCGATTTTTGCTTGAAATATCTAGGAGCTTTCATAGGGAATGAAGACTGGCGTCCGTATCACTTTCAGCTCCTCCGAGTAGGAGACTAGTTTCACAAGGAGTGGTTTGATTGGGTGGTGTGTCCTCAGTGGGGGGATTTCGCATTAGTCACAGTTCTATCGCCGCTGAACCCTTCCACGTGACTCCAGCTCTCAAAAGATGATACAGCCGCAGAACACACCATATGCATAGACACTGAGAAATAAATGTATTTATTTTTCATCTCCTAAGTATACTATTTTACGTCTGTATAAAATAGTACTTAAAACGTAATAGCATTTTATTTAAATGTAGTAGATACATTGAAATTATGTAAATGGAACTGTTAAACTCAAGAAATTTCTGTTGGATATAAAGAAAATATCCGGAGGGGTGGAGATCTTGAACGAGTCTTAAAATTGTTGTTTACTTACATTCAAAAGTATTCTTGGCATTAAAAATGATATCTCTGCTTTACACATGGCGTCGAATTGCTACAACAAATAGTGAAGTTTAATGATAATATATTTTATATTAAATTATTTACATATTTGTAAATAATTTTTTTTTTATTAAACCCAAATTTTTAATGTAGTCGAAAACTGTTTTCAAATACATTTTCGGGCTCAAAATAGAAAAGTATTTTACTGATAATCCATTCAAGAGATACTAATATTTATATATTTTTTACATTTATACATAATTTAATATTCAATTTGTTATATTATTTTTAAAAATTAACAATACATTCAATATACTCTTGTATTCGTCACAAAAAAAAATGTTTTATAAGCGAATGATGTTGCACGCTACAACATTTACACCCATCATTAACTCAATGTAAATTTTGTATAGCAACACATAAGTGGAATTACAAGCACTTATCCAAGTTTCAAGGATAAGAATCTGATCGATACTTAGCTTATCGCGTCAAGCAGTTTGTGCCCTGTCATATTCAATTAGTTGTTATAATATACAGTCCAAATACATGGAAACGTCTAACAAAACAATTAACATTTGATTTTGCTGACTGTTTAATGAATTGTTATTAAACATTGTAAGTATTGTATTATATGTATTATTTATTAATATATCTTCATTAATCTGTGTATAACAAATACGTACGTGAAGATATATCATTTGTCGGTACATTTTAAAACTGATCTAGAATCAAAGACACTTATACCAATAACTGGTTTTCTAAAAAATCCTTAAATCTTAAAGTGTACAAAAAATTATTCAATTTATTTGTATTTCTGTGATATTAAGTTATTAATTTTATTAATTAATCGTGGTTTATTTGAACACCATTCGTAATTAAAATGATTAAATTATACCGTAAAATATTACTGACAGTAAATATCGTTAAAATTGAGTTAAATAAGGCTTCTTTAAATGATCATCGTCAGCCTTAAAATCATGTCACTATATTAATAAAATATATAATTATAATAAAAAAATATACATTTATGTATTTTAAGGGAAATTAAAGCCAAGTAAGCAAATTAATTCTATTATTCAAATTTTATCTAAGTTAAGAAATTAAAATAAAATACTAGAAGTCGAATTTGGTGCCAGAAATATGTTTACCTTATTGACGTGATCTCGAAGTATGTTAGAATATACCATAGCCATTGCCTCTAACGCCATAAACGTCATGCAGCCAACTACCCAAGGCACAAGAAAGGCTACATTCTCCTGAAATAAACTACAATTTTAATATTTACAAAATAAAAATAATTTAAATTAAAACAATTTGTGACATTATTATTCCAATAATATGCAATTTAAAGTGTGTCAAGATTTAAATACTTCTATTTCAATTCTGAACAAATGTATAATCTGATATTTGTTGTAATAATCGTGATAGTCCATAGTCCCTTGAGAGTATAACGAAATTGACATAAAACATTTACCCTATTAAATATTTTGACATTCGATCTCAAAGCACATGAATTTTACAAACGATGTTGAGATAAGCACTTTATAACAGCTATAACACTGATAAAGTTATTAAATGAAGTTAAGACCTGTCATAAAAGCCCACACACTTGATTCTGTATGTCAACAAACTATATCAATGAGTGTTTTTTTCAAATATGTTAATAAAATCTAAATGATATTCACCTTGTAGATTCCGTAGAAAAGAAATATACTGAGGACGATCATAAACATTTGTGTTCCTATTATCGCAAAATATGCTATCTGTACACCTGAAACAAACACATCACTATACGTCAGTACCAAGTTCGATAGGAGTCAAACTTAAAAGTAATTTACTCGGAATGTCAATAGTTTTTCCGTAATGATACAGAACGTAATTCTATTAAGCTTGGTGAATTCCAAGACTAGGCAAACAAGGTTTTTACTACGTCTGTTACCAGGAGCACGTAATCGATTTTGAAGTGAACAAACAAATCGAGGGAAATCGATCACATCGATATCGTAAGTACTTGCTGGGTCGAGGAAATATATAGCTGGATTATATTAGATACTTTAACAAATTGCTAGTCAACCGTCTGTTTTAACAATAGCTTGGATCACTGATAAGAGTAATTAAAACAGGTATTTCTCAACGTAAAATAAATCGTAAAAACCTTTTAAATCGTTACTTAAATTCCACTAATTACTTCAGGATCTTGTAATTACTTGAAGTGTGTGTGCGATTTTTTTATATTTTAATTGGTCCTATTATAGTCTCGTTTAAAATTTGGTTTATATTGTACTTTGAAGTTATTTTATGAAAAAATACTGAAAGTTGGTATTTCCAATATCATTATAAGATAAAAACGAATTATGCTCGTGCCTTTCCATATTACTGCACCTTTTTTTTCATTGTCACTAGGTACTTGGAAACCAGAAGCTCTATATATATTTGTCGTGACGTACAAAATTGCCATTAAACGATTTCTACAATCCAGTTTGACCGTTATTATAGTATAGCAAAATACAAATAATTCAAAAATAGACAATAAGTATCTTAAACCATACGACAAGTACAATATTTGTCTTCTTTGTAAAAATTTGGAGGAGGAGGAAAAATTAGCAGTCAAGTTTTTTAATAATATACTACTTTGCCCTGTCATTCATCTGTATGTATGTTAAGTTACTTTATATATATTTTATAACCCTAATAATCTTTCTCCTTGTAAAATCCGTTATTATTATGGGTATGTAAGTATGTATGTGTTTATTTTTCTTTTTATTATTTCTATAACATAATGCTTTTAATGCTTTTGTAAAAGTATGCTTTATTTTCTATATTTTTCTACTATTTAAATAATGTTATCTGGAAAAGATCACTACAAGTGATAATAACGACGTTATATACAACGAAGAAAAATATAGATCTATTTTTAAGAAACATATTTTTTGTATTTTAGTGTGTTTACTCATTAGACATTAAGTTATAGAATTAGAATAATTTCATTTCTTAACTCTTATTAAATACAAATGTAACTTTCTCAAGATCTTCATAAGGATCTGTAGGGTCGGATAATTTATAACAAGAATTAGATCCAATTTAAATTACGCTATCTGAAGACCACTTATGGTGAAAAGTTAACCAAATTTAATATCAATTAATAGTATTTAAATGTGAATTTCTTCTCAATCAATTCCTTGTTTTCACATTTGTCCGAAAAAGTCATCTGATCTATGTTTAAGTAAATTATCAGCTGTGAAAACAAAAATAAAAACTATTTTGATTTAACTTAATATTGAAAATCTTTGTATATTTTAATAAAACATTAGAAGTGAAAATTTATATGATCATATTTTAATAACAAATATTAACAATAAAAATACTACTTTCATTTCGAAATATATATAAAGTAATTATTCATGATATTGCACTTTTAAAATCTAACTGGGTTCAAACAATCTTGAGTCTCTGGATTCTTAGATACAACTCTTAGTTAACCCCACAGATGATTTGATAAGGATGTCGATAACAAATACCCCACGGGGCTCTTTATCAATTTATCAAGAGTAGTTCTTGCCCTAAATCTCTGATGTATTTGTTTTTGACAAGACCCAAACTTGTTCAACAAACTGTATTTAAAATCCTATAACATTTCAAATCTTCCCCGCCTACCACTACAAATACACGTGCTTTTGTGTTATACGATAAGTTTATAAGTGTTTAAATTATTATAGGCAAATTTATTACTTTCAGAGACAGCGAAATGCTAAGGTAACAATTATGACAGACTTCCCACATATATTATTTAATACCTTCATAAAAATTATTCCGCTTTACTCATTTGCATAAATGAACGATTCTTAAGATTATTTAGAAGTAAACAAGAAAGGTTTTTGTTGAAATAATTATGTATAAAATTTATTTATTCACTTGAAATGTAGAAATTATAAGTGTGATTGTTTAATGATATTTGATTTTGATAAAATTAATACCAAATTACAGATTGAAGAAAAATAGAAAGCCTTGAAATGTAACGCATGTACTTAAAATTATAGAAAGGCTAAATTGCAAAGCGAATTAATAAATATCTAATTATATATACATTTGTACATTATGACAGACTAAGAATTCGATATATTATCTTCCTGCTTCGTAAATTATATCACCAATTGCCTAATAAATATTATTCTTTTTTTCTATAGATTAACCTGTAATCTCTTTTATTTTATAAATAAAATTCCAACACTTTCCTTTAATCTCAATTTGAATTAATATAATTTTTATATTCCACGACAAAAATTCAAGAGATAAATCGTTAGAACTTCAATTCCAGGTCACATATAAAAATACTATAATTGGTCAAGGTATTTAATTGCTTTATTGTAAGATTGAAAAAATCTTTAATTAATTTAAAAACATATACAAAAGATAACAACTTGAGTCATAACCGTTAATCTATTTTCCTTGTAGTCTAGTAAAAAATATGAAAGTAAATGAAATATCATTTTATAAAATGTGAAACTTGCTTAAATCCATATAAATCTACAGCGAGTCGACACTAAAACTTCACAATCTCCGTCAAGACGTGATAATACTAAAATGTTTCTTTTAAATGATGCTACTCTTTTTAAAGTAATTTTAGTTAAAAAAAAATACTTAACTTAAGAAGATTTTTTTTAATAAATCGTAAACCTAACTTTAATACTTCCTAAAAAATATTTAGGAAATAATGATATCAATATTAATGAAATCTAACACTTTGACCAGTATTAATACAAATAAAACTAATATTTTGGGATGTAATTCGCGTTTTTTTATTATTTTAAACTACACACTCCTGACGTCTCGGTTACTATGTACCACTTTTTCTATTGAAAATATCAGTCTTTTTTAAATTTCAATAGTCGGATTATTCTCGGTATGTACAAGCTAGGATCTGTGGTTTATCAAACCGAATGTAATAGCCTGGTTTGTTCATTGTTTATTCACACACTACTGACTTCGACGCTCTACTTTTTTTAAAGTCCAAAACATGGTTCTTTTACCCTTGTATTGATGCTTCTCTTTGTCTGTCCAATGTATGACAAGACACAATCACAATGAAGTTTGTATCCGTGATCAAGGTTTCTTCAAAGTAACCGAAACTTCGGGAACATCTAATTTCAAATATTTAAAACAAATGCCTCCTATAAATTCAGCAATAAACAATACTTTTACGATCATATAGAAAAAAAAACAAACATTTTTATTTAACAAATCTAAATACATCTCACCGTAGTATACGTCGTCAAGTTCTTTATATCTTTTCGCGTTGACGCCAATTCTCCAGCTGTACAATAGTACCACCAATATGGATATGTTCTGTAACAAAGAAAAGCTTTTTTGAATTAAATGCACTATAAATCTCTAAAGGATTTCTAGCTATCACGTTTTGAATAAAAGATCTCATTTATTCTTCCTGCCTTACAGAAGAATTATTTAGGAAAGCTTTGAAATGTCTTTTATTTCAAACATCCTTCTCCTGTTAACGTACGTGTAATAATCGGGTGGTGTGGTTGGGATCCCACCTCGATAAATAAATAAATTTTACTAAGAAACAACATATTGCGTTCATAAATTTTTTTTGCGAGTGAACTTAATAGTGTAACCGCTAACTCAAATGTAATAATTGCTTGCAGTCTGATACAGTGACCTTTAATGTCGTGCTTTACTTTTAAAATTAAAAATTAATTAACATGCATTAGAACCTCCAAGATAATTTAATCCAGTTTTATAATAATCACAATCCCTCCGTCATAAACTCTTATAACTTCTAACACTGAGTACCTATCTCAAATATGCAATCAACACGACTAAGATAACACTTCTATTTCAAATATGAGATGTATTTGTATCTATAACATTTTCAACCTCTCATCTTGACAATTATATAAGTAAGCTATAAATGCTCCTTTTATTGAGTATACCAGCAAATTCATGATATGTTTCATTGATCCTTCCATCAAATTCAACATCCCGATTTGAAACAATTAATCATCGCGAAGTTCTGCTCATGAGCCTTGATTATCTTGCACCTGAGACATATCGCGGAGTTTGACTAAAATGCTTAGTCGGCTATTACAAACCCTTAAACCACATTCTACTCTTAAGCATTTCAGAGAACGAATCGATCGTTTAATATATAAAGTTCAATAATATGTCTTTCAATGGATGTTGTATCTGCAAACGGAAGGTAAGATTGTGAATTTTGTAGCGGGGCATGGGCAATATGTTACCTAACAGATTACTAGACTTAAGCATAATTTATCGAATTTTTCAAAAATATTATGAGTAATGTAAAGGTATCCTTTTCTTATTAAAACATACAAATAGTCTTATACATAATAAAAAAGAGGGTATTGAATCTAAAAAAATAAAACTTTAAGCTATACATAAAAAGAACAACATAAAACAAGTTATTGTACCAAGTTATACTTTTAAGTGAAAATATACACTCCGACAAACGTTCCTAAAAGTCTGTTATTATTACTAAAGCAAGTTTTAAAAGAATCCAAAAAGATAATAGAATTCTCATTATATACATATACAAGGAAGTATATGTATATATGTACCTCCTTTACTGTTAGAAAACCTCCTTTCTTTCAGGATAGTGTTCGTAAATCAAGTGGGTGAAAACTGTAACAATAATAAAGGCCTAGTTTTGTTACAAAAAGATATGATTTCTTTGAAATCAAACCAAATATTCTATTAGTTCACTGACACTGACACCGAAAACGTTTGTTATAATCTTTACTTACTAGTACCTACATGAAAATAATACTATATCAAGAGTTCAGCGAATTCATACTATCTACATAACCTTTTTTACGGGGTGCTAAAATTATTTTGTGAATATAACTATCATTTGTTTTATATATTTCTCTTTTATTCAAAGATCTTTCTACTTTACGACACAAGAAAAAGAAAATGGAAGTCGAAATACGTTCTAGTAAACATTTTATGGCTAACGCTTTTAACTTACTTGAGGGACCAAAAAGGAAAACCAGAGAGATATATAAAAACGTCAACTTAGTTTCACAACAGGATTACTCGTCAGAAAACATTTAATTTTACTACGTAAGTCCAGTGACATTTTTAAACATATGTAGGTATATGTGGTAGCATTAGTTGCGGTAATATGATACTTATTTTAATATCTCGTACGCTTTAGTAAAGGTTAATGTAGGTAAAATGATAGGTAACAAATGTATACATTATATATAATATGTCTTAATTGATAAATGCTAATATATAATTATTAAAATATATATTACTAAGAAGTATGCAATTCGTTTTCCCAATAAAAAGTTTTCTTTTTTAAATAAATAATATATATACTTAATATAAAAACATTATTCTATATACAATCTAAAGCACATAATGCTTTTCATTGTTAAAATTGGTTTTGCAGAAAGCAAATTCAATCGAACCATGATTTCAAAGATCAAAGCGTAAAAGAAACCAATATAATTTCAGTTTCAATTCGTTTTGTAACAAAAATATTTGCTTGTTTGCTGACGACGAATCATTTGTTGTTAACTGTCTATTTTATTATAGGAATAAAATATTTTTTTAAGTAAATATATAAGCGGCTTTAGCATCTATTATTGTGGTATTAAATGTTTCTGTGTTTTTAAATGTACTCGTTATATTTTTGAGTTTTATTTATAGAAGAATTAAACAGTCATGAGAGATCTCTTAAAGAAGAATGTGGCTGTATTTTAAACTGCGCATTTATGTTACCTCCCATTTTGTTTTAATTTTTATGAGTTGTATTTTAAATGAAATAAAATAAATAATCTTTATTGGGTATAGATATTTCATTTTCAAAAATCACATCAATATAATATGCTGATAAAAGCTGACAAAAGACCGAAGATACGATTTGATTCCTTTCCAACTTTTAATAACAATACTTCAAGACAGTCATTGAAGCGAAAGTTTAAAATAAACAAAACTGAAATGAAACCACGGCAGAATATCAAACAGATAGGAAAAATAGCGACGACCATTTTAATATCCTAGAAAAAAATTTTCATATAAAATGGTTCATATAATAGAATAACTAAAATTCTATAAGACCTCGATCTTGATTAAAATATATATGTGTATTTAGCAAAACACTAACAAAATTTACAACTAAATCCAATTGCCGTTATAGAATATAACATACAAGTACTTAAGAACGATGGCAAAGTCTACTATCGTTTATTGAAAGCAAAATTCAATACGATAACGCTTGATAGAATTTTTTTAGATGGGACTTCGCACTCCCAATACATGTGTCGTATTCTGTTGTTTACACCCTTTTCACATTTTGTATAAAAGCTGAAATTAAATTTTGAGTTCATTTAACTAACACCATAAAATAAATAAAATAAGATTATGAATTGTATTATTTTTTAAGATTGTTGAATCTAAGACCAAACCTTATAAAAAAAAATATATAATATATAACGAAGGGGCAAACGAGCGAAAGGCCTACCTGACGGAGGTTATAGGCCACCCATGGACATCCGCAAAAGCATTTTACGTATACGTTGTCAGCCTGGCTTGGGGAAGAGACAGAGGAAAGGATGGGAAAAGAGAAAGGGTAAGAGAAGAGAAAAGTCAACTGGCTCTTTCACTCATCGGAAGAAACGCAACCATGCAAGACTACTTCACGCTGATCTTCTGTGAGAGGGTGATACTTCTCCGGTCGAGCCAGCCCATATTCAAGCTAATGTCACAGTTCGACCAGCTAGTCTCTATTTCGTCAAGTATTTATATATATACATTGAAGTATCTAAAGAGAAGGATGTAACATTATATGGTAGTTCATTATTATTATTATTTCCGTGGATAATTGAAAATAGATTGAAATAGATATAAAATTCTTAACAAATATTTCAACTTAAAATAAAAATTGTTTTATTAGTTTCATAATTATTTCAAAGTTAGCATTTTCTTTGACGAAAAGTCATTTCTCCTTTTTTAGTCGAAATAAATATCCTTTTGATATATTACTTAGTAAACAATTTTATGTAAAAAAGTTAATGATATAAAAAAAATTATGTTAGATAAGGGAGGCTATTAAATTTTTACATATGAAAAAAGGTTATATATATATATATATATATATATATATATATATATATATATATATATATATATATATATATATATATATATATATATATGATTACAACAACAAGGCTGAATGCAGAAATTCTTTGCATAATTAAAAAAAACAAATTAGGGTGTCAATACAGAAAGGAGAGATAAATCTCCGATGACACTCCTATTACCACAAATGTACTATATTATCCATGTTTGCACTTATTGGCTATAATGTTTGTCAATAACCTGCATATGTCCACACGTATTTGGTTTTCCTCATAAATAAACAATACCCTTACTTCACGCTCTATGCTTTGTAACCTTTATCCTATACAAATAAGACTTTTGATTGTGTTTATAATTTAACGTTCGGAAAATACCTTTACCATTAACAACATAACAATAAAAAAAGAACGAAAACTTTTGTGTCCAGTGAAGACACAAATAGTGTTTTTTAACTATAATAAAAATCAAAACTGAATTATATTACACAAAATATAAATTATATAAAAGTTTTGAATGGGTATAAGAGGTAGTGATTTTCATAGTTACTTTAACTTACTGGAAATTATTTATTTTATTTATAAGTTTTAACATATCGTTATGATAAAACCTTTTTATAATGAAAAAAAAATGTTTTGTTAGCTTTAAAACGAATGTTTTTTCCATTAGAAGTTTTTTGAATTCACTAAAATCAATTGTTTAGTGCGGGAATATAAAAAAATACATATTTATCATCTTTCAAAGGGATTTTTTTTCATATACACAAATTTACTTCTTATCAATTTCATATAAACATAAATATTATAAGTTAATTTTTTTTAAAGCCTTATTAAAAAAACTGGAAATAAAAAACTGTCTTCAATTGAAAAAGTAAAAATGAAATTGAAAATTTATTTCATAATTTTGATATTCATCTCAGAAAAATGTTTGCAATTTTTTTTTTCATAATATTTTTTTCTTAATAGTTCTCAGAAAAAATCACACAGTATATAGACAATAATTTGAGTTTTCAGGTAAACATTTCAAATATGCTAAATGATTATCTTTATTAAACTCACAGCGTACCGAATTTCTCTTTGAGAGTTTAGGAGGAATTTGATTTTTGTTATTTATTCAGACGTCTTTCTTGTCTCCATGACTTTTATTATCCTCGCCTCTAATGACTTGGCTACACTTATACGTACATATATTATATATTTTAGGCATTGCTTTAAACTAAATTCATATTCATTTTATTTTCACTCTTTTATAAAGCTATTATTGTCGATACTGTTTAAATATTGCCTAATGGTTAAACAAATAATAAGAGGCTCGTTTATTTTTTAATGAAAATAATTTGATACAATATCAAAGGTATTATAAAAAAATATCTTCATAACGTAAAAAGTTTAGACGGGTGATTTATTAACATTCGTTTCAAAAATTAATCAGTTGTTTTATTTTGTTGTTCAAGAATTCTACTAAGACAAAATGTAAAGCTGATAAAATTTGTACAGAGCTACAATTTAAATAAATATAATTGGGGGATGATTTTGAATATTTTAATAAAATTACTTTGTCAAGACTTAACAAAGGAAACTTTTTCGTAAATTTGAATAATATCTTCGTGACCTTCCTACTAATTTATTTAAATTTATGCCACGCCTATTTGTATAAGATTAATTGTAAAAATTATACCTAAAATCTTTTTACCGTTAACTTATGATCAAATTATGTGTAGAAATTTAACAAGACGGACATTCATCGGTAAAATATGTTGAATAATAATTACCAATGTGTATAATGCACTTGCATATGCAGCATGTTTTACGTGTAGCGTTCTGCAACATGACAGTGTTGTATCTGGGTCGTGCGCCGTCCACGCTTTCATCTGTCAAGAAAAAATAATAATATTACTACTAAATAAAACTTACAATGCTCATACTACTTCTTATGAACTCTTTATAAAGAATATGCTTGTGTGTATTAAAGAATATATATGTATAAGAACATTTTAAGAACGATCTCTTCAATTAATAGTTTGGTTTTCAAAAAAAAGTATTCTAGATTTCACAAGTTAAAACTGAAAATTTTTAATATATTTAGCTGACAGCGAAATTACAATTAATTAATAATGTAGGTGTTCATTTTTTTATCACAATTTCTTATAAAGTTTTTGGATTTAATCAAAACTAATCTCAAAGTTTTTTATAACTTTTTTGACTTATATTATTCTTGAAAGGCTTTATTAGTTCTCGGTAGGTAAAAAATTTTTACAATTGACTTTGTGTCAGTTGAGTTTCTGAAACCTTAGAACTTTTTTAAGATTACTTAATTATTTAACGTATTTCGTCTCAGATAAATAAATTGAATCATGTGCTCTCATGATTACTGATTTGTATTATACGTAAATACAAACTTTTTATTGATATTTAAACAAAATATTGAAGTAAACAAAATATTGATAACGGTTTTAAATTAAAAATGTTGAAACACTGTTGCTTTTACTTAGTAGGACTTGAGTAGGACTCGTACGAAATTAATGTATTTTAATAAAACATTGATACACTAAATTTTTAAAATTATTCTTTCCATAATTACAATATATGAAAGATACTAAGGAAAAACCTTTTAAAACTTTATATACAAGACATAACTTATAGCAAACTAATAGCATACCTTTGTCTTAATGTTGACTTTGTAAATTTTTCTAAATCATATATCATAATAGGGCTGCCACTCACTTATTTATACTGTATAAAATATACGCGTACACAGTCACCAGCGGACGTGCGTCTGCGGCCGCGGTTGCCTTCCAACTGAAACAAGTCTGAAGGCTAGTTACAAACGCTACATTGTAATAAAGGCAATCTCAAGTAAAACGCTGTGGATATCAGTAACTTATAAAATATTTGCAGCTTTAAATTATTTTGGCCTTCAAGACTAAGTGCTTATTTTAGGACGTCAAACTTTAAACAAGCTAGAATGAGCTGAAATATTATCACAGATTAGACATTAAAGAACGATTTTAGACTCACCACAGTAGCGAAATTTATAACTTTTATATAATTTTACATTTTCTTAGTAACTTTCGCTAAAATCTTTTCTAACCAAAAACTTTTATCTTCTTGCGGCCTGGTTGTGATCCTATAATTATTTACTTATGAATCACATTTAAGTTTTTTTAATCGCCTATGTGATTGATAGAAGGTTTAGAATATTCCATTATTCATTGCATTTACTCATTTGAAACTATTGAAGGTTATAAACTCTTGTTCTGACCAATCTTATTAATCAATGTAAACACGATCTGAAAAAAAAATTGCTTAACTTTTCAATGTGGTATTCAATAAAATTAATATCACACATTATAAGGTAAAATCGACAAAGCTTCCATACCATTAACTTTATATAATTATTTAATTGATGTCAATAACGTAATTAACAATACTATTATAACAATTATTTAAATTACCGCAGTAAATGTATTTAACGACAAAATCGTTTTATTGAATAGATTTGATATGCATTTCTGAAAAACTTTTTGCTATTTTGCAGTTAAATGATGGGTAAAGTGACTTTCTAAATTCTAAATGATGAGATCTAAGACTTTCACGAGTATCATTTAAATTAAAATAATACTAATATTTTCGGATTTATAACGCCTTGTATACTATTTTATCTGTATACTCCCGACGTTTCGATTACATTACAGCAACCGTGGTCACGGACAAAGGAGGTGAAAAATATATATAAAAAGTTCATCTTTAAGGTTTTGTCAAACTTTATGGTTTTGTCAACAAAATCATTTATTTACCTTCTAAAATTACTTTTGTACGTCACATAAACGGCAATATCATAATGATTATACCCACTAAATTTGAAATCGTTTTAATTCTCTTTAGTAAGTACAATTTTCAGATTATTGTTATTCCAAATTATCCTCGCAGCTTCGATATTTTTTAATCTATTATTCATTCTGAAGTATACTTTTTAATTACAATTAAATATTATGTACTGAACGAGTTACATTTGTAATGTTAAGTTAAATATATGAACTTTATTAAAAAACAAATTGTGAAATAAAAGTGGTTATCTCTTTGCCAGTTTAAGTCCCAAGTAATTTCGTGCAGCCATTTCAGAGATAAGCTGAAAGAAGGAAACAGATAGAAAAACAATACAAATAAGATCTTATGTATGTGTACATATATATGTATATTTATGCAGATACCCTTTTTTTACGCTGAGAAAATGCTCTTCCGCATCCCTCGGCCAGTTTGGGGAACCAACCGTGGGTATGTGGGACTCGCTGCTCCCGAAAGATGGTGTGAAAGTGGAAGCAGCCTCTACTCACTAAAAACTCAGCGATACTCCCTCTACCCTGCCAATGACCGAGCCACGGGAACTATTATTATGACTTCCGCGACTCTGCCGACAGTCCACCTGTCAGGTGGGTCTAGCAGGGTCGACTTATTCGAGAATGTGTCTCATTCTCCTATCTCTTATTTCTTTACGGTACCCATGGAGTATAATGCGTACCATAACCAACTCGGGGACTCGGTGCAATGGGTGACGGCGTAATTTATGCCCATACCCTTCCCGACCTCAGTTCACCCGTAAATTATTTTTCCTTTAATTTTTATAATATTCCCCTCCTTTTGTAATGGGTTTCATTCTACTATATATTTTTTTGTTTTAAAAAGTATCGACACTGGTCTAAAAATGTTTTGAAGAGGTACGGTGAATTATAATGTTGGTCAAAATCTCGCTATTGTAGACTTTTCGTATATTTTATGTATATTCTACTACTAATAATAAATATTCTACTACTAATAAATATATACTACTAATAAATCAAACGTTTAAATAAAATTATAGAACATACTATCTTAACATTTTATATCAGTCGGAAAATTTATGACGTAAAACGGACTGGAAATCTTACAATGTTAACCGTGCTATCTCTTTGAAACCACACATTTACTACGTCTATTTCTCGAATTCAAGAGGACTAAATTCAGTTTTATCTTAGATCAAAATCCTGAATCCACCTTCAGTGTCTCATAAAATAAAATATGGTATCACATTTTCGAACACCGTACCCGATTTATATTGAATACCATTCGTCTAAATCGTGTAAATATTCACCTATTAAATAATAAACAAAATAATAATTTTAACCATGGTTTTAACAGCTTGATTTAATAGCATATTTTTGTAAAAAATTGTCTTAAAAATTACAAGAATACTGTTCAATAGTGTTCATCTAATGTTAAATTATTAATATCACTAACTTAAAATAATACAAAACTGTGATGATATCTTTTTAACATAGAACATTTTCTTTACTTTTATTAATCATTTTTATCATGTTTTAGGCTCTGATCACAATGGCCCTCACTATGTTTGTGGGAAATTTTAAACATCAAATATCTTTAAATTTAAAATTAAAACTAATTTAACAATATTTAATTTAATTTATTCTTATTTGAATTATTATATATACGGAAATTATTTGCTTAATGAGACTCTTAGTTTTATAAGTTACAAAAAAAGACCTAAGCATGACCTTTAAAAAAAGTTCTATGTATATATATATACCGAAAACATTTTTTTTCAATAATATATTTTAAAGCAAACAAAGAAAATAATAATAAAAATTATTAATTAATTATTATAAAATTATTTATATATTTATTTTTCAGGATTCTCAGTATGCACGTATTACGTACGCAAACATTTTAAAAATTAAATGAACATCGCCGGGGCTACATCGTTTTATGGATAAGATATCATTTAAATTTTGACGAGTGACGCCGCTGACTCTGCTGAAAGGACACCAAGCCGAGTGAACCACAAGATTCCTGATACCACAAAAGCTATGGAATGGCATTGCTATGCTAACATCGGAGCAATCATGTAGTCTTAAGTATATGTCATAAGTTTTAATATGTTATTCTTATTATAGTTTACATAGAAAAGTAGTAAGTTTGGTAGTTTTCATGGGACCTCCGGTTGCCACCCTATATAATTAAAGTGTATCAAATTTGTTGAAGTTTTTGGTAGAAACTATTTATTTTGTATTATATTCGTATATGTGTATTAAAAATAAAGGTTCCAAATGTTATCTCAGTGTCGGTAAAGGATAAAAAGTCTAAATCAATTTTTATATTTGTTGTTACTATTATTACATATTGTTATTTGGACAGTAAAAATGTAAATAAAACAAGGAATAATATCTTTCCTGATTAACCAATAGTATTTTTGGCACAGTATTGTAAATATCTGCGAGTGATTTAAAGTTGTATTTAAAACATATAATCATTTTATTTTTTCTACAAAATTCTAACTGTAATGTGTGTTCTGAAATTTATTATTATTTCAAATGAAAGTTCATCTTACATTTAATAACATTTCTTCTTCTTGTTTATACATTACTTTACACTAATAGGAATTCTTATTCTTCCTTGTATTAGGCGGTATTTTCTTCATAGATATGTGTTGTATAAACTTGAAAATTAGAAACGAATAAATCAGTTTATTTAATACAATAGAAATAAAACAAGGTGGAGCTGATATAAAACGTTTTGACATAATAAAAAAGTATATTCATGTATAATCATGGTGTCAAAATATAAATAGACAAGTCATTTAAACATCTTGATCATTTAATAGCGATAAATATGAAAATAAAATAAAGTTTTGTTGTCTTTTGAATCTAAATTTTATTAAATTTAGTCTAAATTTCAATAGGGTGCTAACATTAAAATTGCAAATCTTATTTTCATAATTCTATCAAAGCTACTTTAAAGTATTATGGAGACTCTTCTGAAGAAAAATATTTTATTTTTTAAAAGCTTTGTTACATTGGTTCTTCTTTTTTATTATACAAATATCAAAGATACGTATTTAGTTGTATAACTTAGTTGTATAACTATTAAGATTTAAATCATTATTTGCTTTAAATAGGAAATAACCGAATTTAATTTTTTAAGCCTTTTCGAACAGGTCATATAAAAAGTTTTTGAGTAAATGCTTTAGGAATAACAATGTATTACGTTTGCTAGATTATGTAAATTAAATACTTATATGTGAATCGTTAAATTGAAGAATTCCCAATAAATTTCAGAATATAATTAACGTTAACTTTAGAATTGTGAAGTAGACAACAATTGAAATCATTATAAATAATAATTATCACTAACAATACATATTTCTTTCATTAGAACGTATTAAGAATAGTTAATCAAATATATAAAATTAAAATAACGCGAGGTCGTACTAAATTAAAATTTATAGGAATCTTTTAGAAAACGTATGCATTTAATTAAAACATTGTTGATTTTCTGGAAATGTCTTATAAGGAGAGTAAGATGTATTTGGTTTCCAGTCTGCAGCAAGATTCTTGTTCCGCAATCGTAACAATACCATGAGATTTGTCTACACCAACAACTAGTTGTTATTCCAGCACTTAGAGTCCCTAAGGCGTTGACTAGCTACTGCAAATACCGTTTAGTATACGGACTGAACGAAACGCTCAACCATACATTATACATATAACCAAACCGAATCTTATATTCAATATGAAAAAATAATTAATTTTGCTATGAAGCTGATTTGTTTTCATTAACAAATATATTTAATTAAATGAATAAACTAATTTTAACCAAATGAATTTGAGTAATGAACACAACAATCCTCCAGATATTTTGTAGAATACACTTTGGATAGCGTGCATTGGAATTGTATGATATATGTATTATCTCCATTCCCTTTTAACATATGATAACCATTAATAAATTTGGATCCTTCGATGAAAAACACTTCGGTATTATGTAGTTTAAAAATAATCAAACACTTAGTTTAATTTTCTACAATAAATTTAATTATGTTAATAAAACATTTAAAGACAAATGCTGATAACACTTCTTAATTCTGCTTTATTTAGCGATAATTTTATTTCCGTTATTTAAAAAAGAAAAATATGATTTATGGGATTTATTAAATAACAAAAAAAATCGCAATATATATATCACACATACACCAGTTTTTTAGTTATATGAAATATGTTACGATTATGATCACCGTTTCCAAAATTTGAAACTTCCCCGGATCTGAAAAAAAAATTAATATTATTTTTGGCATTCCTTACATTTAAATATGTCCAAACACATTAATAAAAATATAAGAATATAATTTACTCAGTAGAATAGTCCTCTGTTCTTTGTCTTGACCTTGAATTGTAAGGTCTTACTCTTGCCATTGGCTTTCTTTTCAGAGCTCTATAATCATTTCCACTTTGTCTGTTTGATGGATATCTTCCAGAGGAACCTTCATCACGAGCGTAATAATTTCCTCCGTCATAGTTATCGTTTTCTTCTTCACCTCCTTCAGAGCTAAAATAGATACAGGTATAGTTGTATAAAGAATTGTAATATGGAATAAAAGTTAATTAAAAATAATACACGTTAAAATATTCCCTAAAACAACTGAAATAGCTTCTTATTGCATGGTAAGTATATGTATTTATGTGTGATTTTTTTTATCATTACAACAATTAACAATTCATGTCATTTTATTTTCAAAAAATGTATTAACTGTATTACATCGAAATCAGTACATAGTTTTTCGAAAATCAATACTGTATTATAAAAATCTGAATCCATTAACAACACATATAATTTTCTAAAAGTAACCTGACCAAATCGTTATCACAACAAATAATTTTGTTAATAAATTGTTCAATCTAAATTTTCAGTTATTATTTAAAAACCACTATAATCTTGTAGAAAAATAAATTAGATTAATTTTGATTAAAATAATTGCAATTATTCTAACACTAATGTACATAAAGACATATTACAAATCTAACTAAACTAGTGCTTTCTAAGTGGATAAAGAACACACCATACATAAATACTGGGTAAAATAAGCAAAATTGACAATTTTTCCTTAGCCTTTTTTCCTCTATTCACTTTTTGTTACTTTTTTTAAATATTTACAAGTAGAAGCATTAATTACATTGTATTTAATGTATATACCTGTCGAATTGATTGTTGTAATTGGGTCTGTCATAAACCATTGGTGCATACCCTCCATCATATGGCCTTGGGTAATTGGGATAATAATTAGTGTTTTCTACTTCACTTTCTTCTGACCCATCATTGTATTCGTTATTTTCATCATCCCTTTAAAGTAAACAGATAAAATACCTTCATAAAACATATACACTCGAAATCAGTTCATGTTTTAACACTTCATATAAAACTATCATATTATTGTTATATACAATAAATTAATTTACCACACTGGTTTAGCACTGGCTACAGCTAACATTGATAAGACGAAAGCTTTAAATACAACTGACTCCATCGTAAGTGTGTTCTTAACTATAGTTGACAGGTTACGAGAGTCATTATATATAAAATTATTATCTTATTCAATAAGATAACATAAATATATGCTTATAAAATTGCTGGTTTTTTGGCCTGGCTTCACGTAGTATTCATGATTCATTATGATTCTATTTCACTCTCTTCATATTTCTTTATTGACGTTTAAAAAGTTATACGCGTATTTGCATATACATATGTATATAGTAAATAACTAAATATTACCAAGTAATACTTCTTTCTAGTACAGATTTAGCTATAATTTTTAATGCAAAGTTTTAAAACAAGTAACAAATAAAAGAATAAACATTTTTTTACATTTATTATAGATTGAACTAAAACATTAAATCTCTTTTTATAACAGATATAGCGGAAACATGGCCGACATTATATTTGATTGAATTTTTCTTTCGGCAGTAATAAATTTGTTTCTTATTATCCTGTATCAATTTCTTTGGGGTATAACAATAAGCTTTAAAGTACATATTTTGTTCATATACTGCAACCATTCTTACTGGTTACGGGTGTGCTCTAATGTATGTTCTCCCATATTTCTATAAAAAATTTTGGACTTTGGTTATTTCACCTTACATTTCGACTTATTTTGTGTATAAATTCTTTAAATTCACAACACTAATGTACAGAAAGTAAAGTTAATTGTCACAAAAGAGGGCAATGAAAATTAAAATCCGTAAAATAGATTTATCGCAACACATGTCTGTATCGTTTTATATAAAAGGTTTTTTTTCAAAAATCTAGTTTTTTAGAAAACAATAAATATAAAATAAAGTGCTTAATGTAAATGTAAACACATTGCTCATATTATTTTTAATACAAATTTTAGCAATATCTAAATGAAAGTAATATTATTCGGATGTACTACGCGATTTTTATTTTTGATTATAAACTACATACTCCCGACGTTTCAATTACTTTACAATTAACGTAATAATTAAAAATGAAAATCGCTTAGTACATCAGAAAAATATTAGTTTCAATTAAATGAATACTCGCAATAATCTTAGATATCATTTAGCAATATCTTTTTAATATATTAGTTTACAATCATATGAGAGCTCACCAGATTAAATTTATATCTAATTATATATTTTTGAAATAATACATGCCATGATTAATAATAATAATTTATAAGTACTTCTTATGTAAAAAACAATATTATGGAGTTTAATTAAAGTAATCTCTTAACTTCTCTGAAGGAATTCCTTTACTATAAGTTAGTTTTTGTCTGCAATAGCCACGTTTTCCGAAAAATATATATGTTTATTATTATTGCTTATAGCTGACCAAATAAGATATCAGATATTAATTAAGTACTTACTACAAGACTTAAACTAAAGACGACAGTACTCTTACATTACAAATTACTATCCTATTTAATACAAAAACGGTAACGAAATAAAAAAGTCGAATGATGGATACTAATGCATTTCCTGAAATAGTAATCAATCCAATCAATTAAGAATTTCTAAGCAAAAACTTATAATATAAATGTTACATATGTAAATATTATAATTTATGAATTCTTATGCTTCCTTCCTATATATTATATAAATACATAAAAAAAGTTATATATACATACTTTGCTAGAAATATAAAGCCCTAGAATTTTTATTGATTAATTAAACATGTTCTATTACAAAACCAAATTATTTCTTCTTCTTTTGTAAATGGATAGAAACATTTGGAAGATTGTAAGCGTAAAAGCGTTTACAATATATCGTAACAGCGACAATTGACCACGAAAAAACTTAGTTTACCTTAGAAGGCCGTAATTTCCGCCTTTTTTATAATCATTGTCCATACAGCGCTTGGCCTTAATCTTCGTCATACGTTTACATCTTCACCCGAAACTCAAACATTACAATCCTTATTACAATTACATCAAAAAAATAAATTGTTTAAGTTGAACACAAGAACTAAACAACACTTTTAATATAAATTAAAAATAAAACAGAACTTATACAAAGAAATAAAATTTTTAGAACATAGCTAGTACAGTGAACAGATAAAGAGGAAATACTATGTCATTATTTAGAAGATATAGTAAGTTATTTGGGGGACAGTAAAATAAAACTATTTTAAAGCTTTTTTTGTATTCCGCTCTCTAGAATGTTTACGTCAAGAGGTCAAAAGATAAAAATGTATTTTGCAATTACGTTTATCGAATTCCCAGATAAGTCACAATAAGGGAATTCCAGCCTATAAAGATATGTCGTTTTTGTTGTTATAATTATAATTTAATGATTTAACTAACTGTTTGAATAAAATATTGTTGATAAGTAAGTATAGAACAATGTATTGGTGTATTAAGAATAAATAAAATAATGTTTTAAGTAATAAAACTGACTTCACAAAAAAAGATAAGAACTAAAAAAAAATTTACACGTAAATACTGTTTCGTATCCTAATCTATCTAATAATAAAATCGAAATATCTGCACAAAAATCGAGTAAAAACTATTTGTATTCACTTTCGAATAGTCTAGTTTAACACCTAACTAAAACATATGCAATTTCTTAATATCTAATCTATTAGGAATTGCATATATTTTAGTTTATAGCTATATGGGTATTTCTTTTTTGTTAATAGGTTAATATTACTATTGATGACTAAAATACATATATCACTGCCTGCAACATGAAAAGCACATACGTAGTTTTGTTTTGAACCTGAGTCCAAACTTATAGTGCTCGAGGAGACGTTTCTTTTGCAAAATCATAATTTCTCTTAAGAATATTCGATTGTGTATCTTGAGGTCGTACCCGTAGTCATAATTAACGACATTTGGTTTTAGTCTCAGACCGATTACTTATTATTAATTGAATTAATCGAGTCATATGACAATTAGTGTATGTTAATTTAGATGTTTTTTAATTTAGTTTTCTGTTATTATATATGTCATTAGTTACTTAATCTGTAGAAAGCAGTAAGGAAATAAAATACAATAAAATTTAGTTATTAGGTATAAACCTATAAAGCTTTATACCTAATAACTAAATTGTAAGCTATAAAGCTTTAAAAGTAAACTAGGAATCTTGATATATTTAAAAAAAAACATATCAACAAATCATAATCTTCACAATTTGGTTTTTTCTCAACTTTACATTGTCTCTTATATTAATGTATTCCTAACCTCTGAACTAGGAAACCCCGTATCATAAACGTAATTTTTAATATAAAACAAATTCTTTTGTATTTTCCATGATCAATTATATAAATATAGTGTACTTACTTTATAAGTTATAATTATTTTTAAAGTACAAATATTTAGCAGAACAAAATGGATAAACCGAGTGATTTCGATAATGGATAATAACCCATTATGAATTAGCCTAAAATATTATATGTTTTAATGTTTCCTCGTCGATTTTTTTCTCTTGCCACTGGATGGCAAATAAGAGCAGTTTACAAACGGTACCTTTTCATCATCCAGACGGAATTATTTCATACATTATGGTGAATATAAGCAATATAAACAATATAAACACCATATTTATACAGATAAAACATTCAAATAAAATTTATGTGCTATCCTTTTTTTCATAAAATTAAATTACAGTGTATTATTACTTAACCGTTATATTTGTTTTCGCAGAATGACTCGTTTCTTCAATATCTTGCAGATAAATTAATGTTTATATTTAACATTAAAAAAAATTTTTTGTCACAATTCTTAAAAAGTTTAGATATGTATTATTAAAAAAAAACAATCTAATATTATGTTTCACAGATTCTTATCGAATATCCTCAACAACAATTGCTGCTACCGTTACAATACGCCCACGTATGTCGAAGACGATCTCATAATCCCTTTCTCCTTTGTAATCAGCTTCAAAATGTTTTTTTACCTTTTACATTATTTTTTATAGAAAACAGAGTTATTCTTATACCACGGCTATTTTAGTACTTTTATTTATTTCGGTGCTTAACTTTTTCTCTGTAAATATAAGGACAAAATATGTTAGGATACACGAATAAAAGCGAACTACGCTTAAACTAATTTAGGATGTTACCAAGCTATTCCATGAACACACGGGAAAATAACACAAAGCGGTGTTCGTACACCGAAACTATTAATTTTCCGAAAAATATTGGAAATTTTCTCTTCCATAATTTCGGCACCGATTAACGCTATTATTAATTCAATTAATTTAAATCGTTAGGGTAAAATTTATAACGATCGCAATTTAAAATTTTTGCCAAGTATTATTATAGGTGATATTAAAGAAGATAACGCTGAGTTTAAATTTATTTCCAGTTTGTTGAGTCTGCCTGGAAACCGATAAATTTAAATTGATTAATTATTAATGTTCTCTGTGAAATCTCCTGAAATTTATACCTTTTTTAAACTCAGGTGTCAAATTTTTTAAGCGAACTTGATTATTCTCAAAACTTAGGTTACAAGTATTAGCTTGCATCATATCAAAGTCATTGTTCTTTCTGTCATTTTATACTATCCTGGAACACAAAAAATCCATTTACAGAATCGAGTATTTCTTAACATTAAAAAATTATTATGTTATAAGAAATTACAATACTGAAAAGCGATTCAAATACTCTTTGAATCTCTTTTTTCGTAACACCTGGTATGAAGAGGCTAAGTTATAACGACTTCAAAACTCTTGAAGTTTTATTTAAAAGCATTAGCACAATAAGACGCCGGCGAAGTATTGAGTGTAATTGAAATAATGAAACCCTTTAAGAGTTTATACAATAAACCCCGTCAGAATTAAAGAATCTTATTTATCATTAGAAAAATAAACTAATAGTGCCCATATGACTATTGCTACTTCAAAACTACTAACTTTTGTATATTTTAATTGTCCATTTCATTCCGATCTTGTTTATCTCCTCCAGGACTTACAATAATTTTTATTTTTATTAACCTATATGTTAAGATAAATACGTTTCAATATTTTTCACAATTCTTCTACTTCACCTGATATTATAATTGGTTTG